ATCAGCTCCTACCTGTACGTTGCCCCGTCTCCTATCAGCTCCTATTACTTTGCCCCGACTCCTATCAGCTCCTACCTGTACGTTGCCTCGTTCTCTGATCAGCTCTTACCTGTACGTTGCCCCCTCCCATCAGCTCCTACCTGTTTGTCGTCCCCTCTCCTATAAGCTCCTACCTGTACGTTGCCTCGTTCTCCTCTCAGCTCTTACCTGTACGTTACCCCGACTCCTATCAGCTCCTACCTTTACTTTGCCCCGACTCCTATCAGCTCCTACCTGTACGTTGCCCACGTCTCCTCCCAGCTCCTACCTTTACTTTGCCCCGACTCCTATCAGCTCCTACCTGTAGGTTGCCTCGTTCTGATCAGCTCCTACCTGTACGTTGCCCCGTCTCCTCTCAGATCCTACCTGTACGTTGCCCCGTCTCCTATCAGCTCCTACCTGTACGTTGCCCCTTATCACATCTCCTTCCTGTTCGTTGTCCCCTCTCCTATCAGCTCCTACCTGTACGTTGCCTCGTCTCCTCTCATCTCCTACCTGTACGTTGCCCCTTATGACATCTCCTTCCTGTTCGTCGTCCCCTCTCCTATCAGCTCCTACCTTTACGTTGCCCCAACTCCTATCAGCTCCTACCTTTACGTTGCCCCAACTCCTATCAGCTCTACCTGTACGTTGCCAAAACTCCTATCAGCTCTACTTGTACGTTGCCCCTTACCACATCTCCTTCCTGTTCGTCGTCCCCTCTCCTATCAGCTCCTACCTTTACGTTGCCCCAACTCCTATCAGCTCCTACCTGTACGTTACCTCGATCTCTGATCAGCTCCTACCTGAACGTTGCCCCGTCTCCTATCAGCTCCTACCTTTACGTTGCCCCAACTCCTATCAGCTCCTACCTTTACGTTGCCCCAACTCCTATCAGCTCTACCTGTACGTTGCCCCAACTCCGATCAGCTCTACTTGTACGTTGCCCCTTACCACATCTCCTTCCTGTTCGTCGTCCCCTCTCCTATCAGCTCCTACCTTTAAGTTGCACCAACTCCTATCAGCTCCCACCTTTAAGTTGCACCAACTCCTATCAGCTCCCACCTTTATGTTGCCCCAACTCCTATCAGCTCTACCTGTACGTTGCCCCAACTCCTATCAGCTCCTACCTGTTCGTCGTCCCCTCTCCTATCAGCTCCTACCTGTACGTTGCCCCAACTCCTATCAGCTCCTACCTGTACGTTGCCCCGACTCCTATCAGCTCCTACCTGTACGTTGTTCCTCGGAGTACGGCGTGACTGGCCATAACGGCACTGTGAATGACCGCCATCGCATCTTCTTCTACCTCCGAAACAACATTGACGAGCTGTAAATGATAGTTTATCACAGACAGTAATCATTATCTCAGTGTCAGGATGAGGCAATAACTACCTATATCTTGTAGATACTGGACCATACACGACACAATCACTGCTAAACAATGTCAATGATAAACACAGAACCGTCATATTACATCCATGACGCCACAGCCATACACAGCTCCTCCAATACTGTACACGACAATGTCACAATTACCACTACATCCCCAAAGCTACACACTGCACCCTCAACGCTAAACACTATATTCCCAACGCTAAACACTATATTCTCAACGCTAAATACTACACCCTCAACGCTTAACACTATATTCTCAACGCTATACACTGCACCCTCAACGCTAAACACTATACTATCAACGCTATACACTGCACCCTCAACGCTAAAAACTATATTCTCAACGCTAAACACTACACCCTCAACGATAAACACTATATTCTCAACGCTAAACACTGCACCCTCAACGCTAAACACTATATTCTCAACGCTAAACACTGCGCCCTTTTGATGCACCAATTTAATGTACAGTAACTGAAAATAATGACCCTCCCCTCATGCTTGTCATAATTTTGGAAACCCTTCCCATGTCATTGTAGATAATACAGGGCGGTCCATAAACACGGTCTCTTCCTTGACACACGTTGATGATGCTGGTGCGTGTGACGTAACACCAGGCAACGCGCTATCAGAGAACGCGCGTCGCGTTAACCTTTGCCGGGCAGAGAGATAGCAACGACGGCTACAAATCAAAGGTTAATGCGGTAATTCGAAACGTGGATTTGCAATCAGGAAACATATTAACTCTACCATAGATTTGAAAATACGCTCTGTTAAAGACACATACCTGTGATACAGACATCAGTAAGATAATCAGCAATGACAGGAAGGGTGTTTCAACTTGGATACGAGTCGTGAACATTTTGAACAGACATTGTTGACATGAACAAAGAATTGTGCCCCGTCGACCATGATGATGCATGATGCACGTTTAATATTGTTTGTTTGTTTGTTTGTCGTTTGACGCCGCACTCGGCAATACCCAAGCTATATGACGGCGGTCTGTAAATTATGGAGTCAATAACCAGACAACCTAGTGATTGACATCATGAGCATCGATCCAAGCAATTGGGATACGACGTCATGCATCAACCAAGTCAGCGAGCCAGACCACCAGATCCGGTTAGTCGCCTCTAATGACAAGCATGGGTTGCTGATGACCTATTCCCTACCGGATCTTCGCGGGCCCATGCCGGGCAAAAGAAGATATGCACCCATGTTTGATGGTGGCTAAAAATGACCCAAACAAGACAATCATGGTTATTCGATGATGATGTATTTGATGTGTTTTTGACCTGAAGTGTGCAGTATATTGGCCCTTGTTTTAAGCCTATAGTAATGTTTTGAGAAAGTTTGAAAGTTTGGAGTCAAATCCAATTTGCTAGTGCATACTTTCTTTTGCCCGGCAGGGTACAACGCATCACTATTACAACACTGGCGGCTACATTGACAGCTCAGCAGTGAAGATCCGGGTTTAAAATGATCTTCAGAACCCATGCTTTCGTTACACGCGACTAACGGAATCGGGAAGTCAGGTTCGCTGACTTGTTTGATGAATGTCATCGTATCCCAATTGCGTATATCGATACTCATGATGTCAATCACTGGATTGTCTGATCCAAACTCGGTTATTTACAGATGACCGGAATATCACTGAGTGCGGCGTTAAAAAACAAACAAACAAACAAAACATTGACCGCCCACTATGGTTACAAAATGTCTCTCCAGGTACTTTCTATACTGCTGTTCGTGTTCGACCTTTGCCACAACCTGCTATAGCTGATATATGGCTATGACAGAGAACCTCATACCACATATTTTCATCTTCTGCATAAAATATTCATCTGATCAGTGATGTTATAGCTGACTGAAACCCAATACGGGTAGCGTCTTACCGCCGACTGAATAATAGATACCTATACAGGCTTTTACCTTGACTAACCAAGTGGAGGTTCAGGGGACCCCCAATATTTGATTTTAAAGGTCCTTGCGGGCAATAGGAGGATCCTGTAAATGAATGAATGTAGTGTACTGTACGTTTAGATAATAACATTACAGCCTGGAATGAATCAATGGTCATGTGGACAATGGTCATGATTGATGGGTGAAATAACAGACACCTATAACTGCTCTTGATGAACTGTGGGTACAATGAAGGTTATTGTGTGTCCCTCGGGACGCAGAAGAATTTTTTCCGGTGTCCATTCTCTTCAGTTGTGCGAACTGGCGCACATTTGTGCGTCACGTAAAACCCCGCGTATATATAGCCACTGAAGGTTCCCCAGATATCCGGACATTCAATTGTCAGATACGTATGAACTGTTGAAAGGGCGTCTTGTTCTGTTTTGGAGATATTGATTGAAGCATCGACACTGATACATCTTGGTGTGAAACAGAAATCGTTAATGATAAAACATCAACGGCATCAGTGGATCTGTGTTTTCTCAGAATTGAAACTGCTTACTTGGCAAAAAACAACAAATTAAGCGACCATCAATAGTTAGACACCACACAAATATATCGTTTGGTCATTGTTCATATCGTTCATGGTTTATTTAATTGTTCTTATTTATAATGAAGGGGTAGCTGGATACCCCACACACCCCTGCAACCCCACACCCTTAACATTAACTAAAAAACACAGAACTAAATTACCCGACCCAAAAATACATATTTTTCAACAACAGAAAGTTATGTGGCTGGATTTATGGTATGAAATAGCAGTTTGCCCAAACACTTAATTGTGACCATTTGTGACGAGTCTACCATTGTAGAGACGCTGATTGTACATATTGCCTGGCGTATGGACCTATATGCCGGTACAATGACTTGGTTATATTTAGTACACAGAATAGGTTCTGTCAAAACCTTTATTCTAGCTCCTGCATGTGTGGAATGTTGGTTTGTTCTTTGTACCACCGTATCATGCACTTCCGAAATAATCTGAAATACAATGTAGCTACCTTTAATTGATTGTCACCAAGTTCGAATGCACGCGATACCTCTATACACGTAGTGTATTATAATACGTTAACCACACATGCTCATTCATTTCTATATGAGCATGTATAGCATACAAAGATATTTTTGACAATGTCATCTAGCTCTTTGCACCACCATGCAACGACAACAATATGAACGTCAACATTAAGGCGACAATCAGAACATACACACACATATCGAGAATACTGGCTGACGTATATATAGTTTTATATTTGCACATCATCACATGTTCTAATGTTTCTAATACGCAGCTGCTTCACTAAAACAATTCTGCTCACATGGTAAATGATTTGCGCCGACTTCGTCAGCAGTAACATATGGCCATATGTGATGATTTTCTTATCATTTATGGCATAACACACATAGAAAAGACAACTTACACATTGTTTGTAGATCTACCAAAATTAAAGGGACTGATAAAAGCTTGTCTGTTTTTTTTTAGTGGCATATGTTCCAATATGTTGCCGATTAACGATTTATGATTCTTTATAGTTATCTCGGTTGACTAAACGCTAATCATGCAAGTAAACGATATGTAGTTAATTAATCGCAGGTAGGCTGTCACCGTACACGAAGTGCATGTGGCAGCTCGAAGCAACATGGAATTTAGACCGCTCAGTTGCCGCTGCTGCAAGCCAATCAGAAATCGACAACTCGCTACTACAACTACTTCCGGTTACTTTGAGTTTGTAAACGCGAGCAGCGAGCGGGTGTTGAGAGAAACCGAGAGAAAGTTGCCATCCTGCTTTGTTTCCAGAAGACCGAATTACTGTTGCATTGCAAGTATTGCATTTTGCATTAAAGTTGCATTGCAAGTATTGCATTTTGTTTCAAATTGCATATATTCCTTTTATTATGCTGAATGCGCGTTCATCACTCAAATTAACAAATTGTTTGTTATTGTGACAGATCGTCATGATGAAGTGTCTGGTGTGCGTGCTGTCACTGTGCGTGGCGTTGACGGTGGTTTTGGCTGTGAAGGAGGCCCACGCTCCACACGACCCTCTGGGAGGGGAGAAAGAGATTGATGGAGAGAGGAACAAGCACCGGGACCATGAAGCTGTGCTGGGTGAGTAGACATGGGTGGGTGCAACGCCCACTAAATGGCCAGGCAGTAATCTTTTAAAACTAACTTTATTGTTGTGTTTTTAATTTCGGCGTACAGATATGTTTTTTACTGAATACATGATTTCGTTAATATTTTCAATTTATAAAGCAAAATAAAAGCGTTTGCATAATGACGTATTGTCTAATATTCATCAGCACATTCAGTTACATACAGTAGTTCTGATCTGACTGATGATGGCAGCGTTAGAAATTGGCACTAGTCCTGTAGTCCTTACCGAACTGCCCAATGGTAAAGGTATCCTAAGGACTAGGCTAGTAGAAATTGGCTTTAAGGGTTTTGCTTTATGTTATCATTATAAGGAGTAGTGGACAAAATCTGTTAGTTTCTAACCCTGGATGGTGAAGGTTGGTTGGCTTGAAACTAGGGGTAGTTCTTTTGGATAATCCGGTGCAAAGTTCATAATGGTTAAGGTTAATGTAAGGTTCAACATATTGACTTGTAACAAAGAATTTGTTTACATTTGATAAGTACTGCTGCACTGCATGTTAAGCAGGACAATATCCATACAGGCTTGAAAAGGCCTTGAATTCTAAGGTCCAGCTTGAAAAGCTTTGATATTTTGCATCACCCTAAAAAAGTCTTGAAATTAACCGAAATAGCTTGAAAAGCGTTGAATTTGTACAAAGTGACATATGCGTGAACTTTTGAATAAATGTTTAAGTGTGATTTGTCATAGTGTGCCAAAGACCATGACGGGTTCATGACAGACTTAGTTTATTTTATTTGTTGGTTGTGAAAATAATCTAGTTGGAAATTTGTAATGTTCATACTGCTTTTTAGTTCTCACGACTAATATATAGTATGCTGGATTAAAAAAGATATTGACCGACTAAGGCTAATAATTCAACTAAAAAAGCCTTGAAAATAACTGTTGAAAGCCTTGAAAAGGCCTTGTATTTTTGTTGTCCATATCTGTATGAACCTTGCAGGAGCGACAGTAATGTTTACATGTAAATGAACTAAATATGGCACCTCGTACACAAATCATTGTCTCTGTCTGTGGTTTCCTGTTGGTTATGACACGCACAGTTCCTGGCATGTCCAATGTTGACACTGGGGACACAGAAATGTATGGCTGTGTATCACTAATAAAAAGGAATTCATTTTTTACAGCTAAAACTTCCTGTGCTTATTTCTTTACCATGGTAACAGTAATATCAATACCAAGGAATTATTATGAATAGATTGTTGTGCTGTGATGCATTCATGTACCCCATATGATACTGCTACAACAAATTTATCTTACTGACATGTTTAAGTATGACATTGTAAAAGAATTATGGTGCCTTAGACGACAGGGCCGTGTGCTCCCCCATGAAATAGGGCATCCAGGTTCACCACAATGTCTCGAGCTGGCCACATGCAATTTTAATAATGTCATATGTAAAACCTTCCATATTCTCTAAATCCCTGCAGTAATCATTAAAACTAAGTTCCTAGTTAAAACTCAGTGATTGAGTAAAGAAAATGAAGAATAGTCTGAACTTTCGCTTTATTTCTTACGAGATAAATGTCAGTGAAGTAAAAAGTGCATGCTACAATTGAACTAGTTTTCTTGATTTGTTTGATTATTTGTCGTTTAACACCGGACTCAGCAATATTCCAGCTATATGATGGCAGTCTGTAAATAATCGAGTCTGGACCAGACAATCCAGTGATTGATATCATGAGCATTTGAGCATCGATCCACATAAGTGAGATAAGATGACATGCATCAGCCAAGTCACTGAGACTGACCACCCGATCCTGTTAGTTGCCTCTCACGACAAGCATAGTCGCCTTTTAGGGCAAGCGTGGGTTGCTGAAGACCTATTCTACCCGGACAAAATATAATTTTTCATCTGTTGGGACTCACAGAACATATCATTTGCATCCATTCTCAATTTCTATATGTACAGGCATTTGTCCTGCACAGGATGCATAAAACCACATGTTCCCCTCGTGATACTGCTACAACACATTTGTCTTACCGACATGTTTAGATATGACATTGTAAACAATCTCATTAAACTCAGATCTTAGTTCTCGCTACCGCTAAACAAAGATCTGAGGACATCCAATTACGGGTCACGTCAGACCGACCTTGCGCAAACTTTGATCGACCAATGGAATGACCAATCAGAAGGAAGCTTTCTCGTGCTTTACGGCACTAATTTCAAATTGGCGACTACACTTCGAAACATATTTTGACAAATTCTCGATTACAAATTAGAATTCTAGAATGGCTACTCGATGGTCTAGATTGTATGGATTCAGTCGTTAAGACCTTAACTATCGTTTGGAATACCCTGTGTTAAAGTTTTCGAAATTGCATGATTAGAAATCACATTCTGACTGTCACTTTAATAATCTGATAAGCGACGCTCTGATTGGTCGTTCTGACGTGACCCCTAATGGGATGTCTTCAGGTCTTTGTTTAGTGGTAGTGAGAACCAAAGTCTGATTTTAATGAGATTGCATTGTAAAAGAAGTAAAACATATTCAAAATTGATAGGAAACAGCTGTTCAATTGAGCTGCGGTTAACTTGTGTTATATCACATGAATTTCATTGACTCGGAAAAAGAGTTTGTGGCAGGGTAGAAGGGATTTAATATCCTGCTGAGAAATTTATTTCCCTCCAAGGCGCAATACATCGTATTTTATCAAGTCAACGTGAACCAATCAGATCTCATCATTCTAAAGTTGAGGTATGATAATGTATCTGATCATTCTGGTTATTACATATAGTAGAGTAGAACACGTTCATGACGAACACAGATATTGCCAACAAATGGACATAAGATACTATTTAAAAAGTCCCAAATGCAGCTCTATATTTTGTCATTGATAATCATGTTTACCATGTACTCTATAGCGAAACATTCAAGATTTTTCAGAAGTTAATGTTAACACTATTGAATATATTTTTGAACAAAATGAACAACATTGGTTGAAAATAATTGTGATATTTTTATTATTTTTATCACTTCACATTTCAATCCAAGATGGTGAACATACGCTTCATTTCACGACTAACGAACAAACTACAGATATAACAAGCTGATTTTAGCTTTTTGTTGAGTTCGTTGTATCCAAGTTTTAATGCTTTTGTCAATTTTGGACTTTCTATGAAATGCTTGAGACTTATTGATTGTCATTGCTTTTTGCTGTCATGGCAACTGTCTCTGATGTAACCGATACTCCAGGTAGGAGTATAAGGAATGTCAAATATTAAATATTTATGTTTGTGAGGTGAGATCAAATGTGTTGCCAGGAAACCAAAACGTTCTCAAATCACAGTGATCATGTGTCGCAGATGAAAATGAAGAATGTTAACTAAATTGTTTCCATGTCAAAAGATAATCTGGATTTGAGTCTCCCATGTATAAACTGTAAAAAATGCTGAAAAGTGTTTTGTTATTGTATTTTGTCCACATGGACTCACAGTTGGTGTTTAGTTCATCATGTCATACTCCCTGTCATCTGTGAGTCCAATCTCCACAACTTAACAAGGAGTTTGGTGCGGAAACATTTCATGAATGTTCCTGGTAAAAGTGTCTTTACAGAATATTGATCACAGTGGGGATTCCATGTTTGATAAGGTCCCTAGCCCCTGGCCCCTGGCCCCTGGCCCCTGTCTCCTGTCTCTTCATACTCAAGCCAAAGTCCACAATATTCGACCATTTTGACAAGTCACTATTTCTTCAGTTTTCTGAAAATGAAGTGATTCTTGGTGCTCCTATTTACTATATATTGAAAGACATTTGAACAAAAAGAAAATAAATACTTTTCAATTCAGAGGAAACTGTTTGCTAAATGCCTATGTGTCTTATAGTTGTAGTTATTGCTGACTAACATAAGAAATAGATTCCATTACTTCACTGAAATATTGCTGTATAGTTGACTTGAGACATCTAGTCACATCGAGACCTGTGAAGATCTGGGCTAGAATTGGTCTTCAACAATGCATGTTTGTTTTAAGAGGCGACTATGCTTTACTAGTCTCCTGGCCATGGATAAGTGATCTAATGTCTTGAGTGTTTATTGATGAATGGTCAGATATTGTTCTGCTCTACCCCTCTTGCCTCTCACATACATGGACCAGCAGCATTCATGAAATTCTTGTCAATAGAATTACTTCCTTTCTTAAGGTCAGATTGTTACTTGACTCACTCACACACTTAATCCTGAGTGGCCTGTTTTCTCAGTTACGAAACAATCCCCAAAGCCAACCACACACATGGACTTTCCACCGCACAGACAATCCACCTTCACAGACAGTCCACCACATAATCCACCACACAGACAGTCCACCACACAGACATTCCACCATACAGACAGTCCACTACATAATCCACCACACAGATGGTCCACCACACAGACGGTCCACCACACAGACGGTCCACCACACAGATGGTCCACCACACAGATGGTCCACCACACAGATAGTCCACTAAACAGACGGTCCATCACATAGATAGTCCACCACACAGATAGTCCACCACATAGATAGTCCACCACACAGATAGTCCACCACACAGACTGTCCACCACACAGACAATCCATCACATAGATAGTCCACCACACAGACGGTCCACCACACAGACTGTCCACCACACAGACTGTCCACCACACAGATAGTCCACCACACAGACTGTCCACCACACAGATAGTCCACAACACAGACAGTCCACCACACAGATAGTCCACCACACAGATAGTCCACTACACAGATAGTCCACCACACAGACAATCCACCACACAGATAGTCCACCACACAGATAGTCCACCACACAGACAATCCACCACGCAGACAATCCACCACATAGACAGTCCACCACACAGATAGTCCACCACACAGACAATCCACCACACAGACAATCCACCACACAGACAGTCCACCACACAGACAATCCACCACACAGATAGTCCACCACACAGATAGTCCACCACACAGACA